ATTTATTTATGTGATGCAAGAGATCAAGCTTGGACCCTTGGTCCTGTTGGACAAGTGTTATACCAATGAGAGGTATCTCCAACCCCTAAAAACTTGTTTTCTAATCCAGAAGGCAATTTGTCAGATTTAAGTATCTATTATTTTCAGTCAGGTATGATGGCTTGCAGCTGCAATCTTGAAACTTGAGAGACCGAGGCAGCAGAATCATGAATTAAAGGCTAGCCTGGGCTATAATGAGGGAATCTTATTTTTTTCTTTAATTTAAAATTTTTTTTAATTTTACACACTAGCCCCAGTTCCCCCTCCTCCCTTTCTCCTGCCCCCCTTCCCATACCTCTTTACCCTCATTCACTCGTCAGAGGGAGTAAGGCCTCCCTTGGGAGTCAACAGAGTCTGGTATACCAAGTTGAGGCAGCGCCGAGCCCCTTCCCCTGTATCAAGGCTGAACAAGGTGTGGTGGGATGGGCTCCAGAAAGCCAGTTCATTCACCCAAGATAGGCTGTCGTGGTCCCACTGCCTGCTAGGGCCACACCAGACAGATCAAGCTACATAACTGTCACCCACATTCAGAGGGCTTAGTTTGGGAGGGACTCTATCTTAACAAAGCAAACAAAATAACCCTTTACTTTCATCTTTGCTCTTTTTCTTTTTTTCTTTTAATTAGGAAAACGAGTAGTACTAATGAAGAAATTTCCTCTGGATGGAGAGAAAGCAGGCAGAGAAGCAGCACTATTTATTGTTCCGTCAGTTGTCAAAGGTAATCTGAATTTAGATTTTTAGGTATTTTGAATGTTAATTGAAAATTTACTGACATACTTAGGAATGTATTTTTATAGTTACTACTGTAATATTGTTATACATATTCTTAAGTTAACGAAGAAAAATTATCATATATTAATTTCAAAGTAATGTATAGGTTTCTTGGCTAATTCATAATGTTTTCATTTCCATTTTTAAGATGGAGATGTGAAGAGAGAAGGAGTAATTGAAATTAAAAGTGTTCAGGTTAAGGAGCTAGAGATGGTTCAGCAGTTAAAAACAGACTGTGCTTCCATGTTCAGTTCCCATCATTCACAAGTGGGTCACACCATCTGTAACTCCAGTTCCAGGAGATGCAGCACTGTCTTCTGGCCTCTGAAGGCACAAGGCATGCTTGTGGTGGACAGACATACTTGCAGGCAAAACTCATACACTTAAAGTTAAAAACTGTTCTGGCTGGGCGGCCGTGGTGCTCCACCTTTAATCCCAGCACTCGGGAGGTAGAGGCAGGCAGATCTCTGTGAGTTCTAGGCCAGTCTGGTCTACTAAGTTCCAGTACAGCCAGGGCTACACAGAGAAACCCTGTTTGGGAAAAAGGAAACAAAAGTATTCTGGTTATAAAGCATTTTTTCAAAGGATATGCCATTAATAGGCTAAAAATAGATACAACACAATGAGGCCAAGAAAATGTTGTTCTAAAATACTCTGTCCAGTAATATGGTTGATAACGTTTACACAACATAGATCTAATATAAAAATTTTAATTGAGCTTTAGATATCCTGGAATAATAGAAAGGAATTTTGAGTTTCAGTGCAGATCCTGTAGCTATTTCATTTTGAGACTTTGGGCGCATCTTTAAGATTTAAAATTAACTATATGTGAATAGAGACAATATCATTCCATGCTTTCACTTGATTTGTAGTATAGAGAGAATTCATTGAGGAACTTTGCAAACCATAGAGTGTTTGTCTCATGTAAGTTAGTGATACTTCTGGTAAAAATTTAATGACCTAACAGAGACATCCATCAGCCTACTGCTGCATTATTTTGTTGACCAGCTTTAGTAAACAAAACACATTCTTCTAAGTGTTCTAAAGTTTTTAAAATATGTAGCATTTTAAATGATGTTGGAAATCATAGTAGATTTTACAACATTATTGAGAAAAAGATTATAAATGCTGGGACCAGAAGTCTGGCTTAGTGACTAAAAGTGCTTGCTATGCAATCCTGATGACCTGAGTTTGATCTCTGGATCACATAAAACAGCCCAAAGCCTCTGGATTCACGGCATTCCAGTTGTGAGTTCGGGTGATGGAGATAAAATGAATGAACCAAAACCTCATGGGCCAGCTCTCCTGGAGAGCTGCAGATAGCAGAAAACAAGACACATTGTATCAACAAGGTGGAAGACAAGAACCAACTCCCAAAAGTTGTTCCCTGATCTATACACAAACACACTAAAATTTAAGATATAAAAATGCTGTATTCATCAAAGGGGACAAGTCAGAGTTGGTTGTCACTTGAATCCAGGCCTTCTAATTTCAAATACAGAACAATTTCTGATATATTCCACAAATTTTGAGAACATGCTCTACATTAAGAACACGTATTTGTAAACTTTATGTAATGAATAATTTCTTTTTCTTTTTCAGATAATACTAAATATTCATATACTCCCGGATGCCCAATTTTTTACTGCTTACAAGATATTATGAGGGTTTGTAGTGAGTCTAGTACTCACTTTGCAACACTTACAGCAAGGATGTTAATAGCCTTGGATAAGTAAGAAACACATTAAGAATATTTTTAATCAATCATAATTGAAATTAGTCTGTGGTTCTCTTGTGGGAAAATATTACTGAAAAATAACCTTTCTCAAAAATGGTCAGTTTTTCAGCTATAAGGATGAAAAAAATCCCCCAATTAAGTTTGCCTTGACTACTTAGAAGATATTAATTTTATCTTTCCAAAATAATAAACACTTCTCAGTTTTCAGGATCAAGATTTTTTTTTTTTTTTTTTTGGATAAAGTAGGCATAGTAGTTACTCTTGTCAGTGAACAGTTATAGTCTGTCTTCTGGTAATATCACATCTCAGGAGGCCCAGTATAGAAGTATTTTATATTTTCTAAAGTTGTTTTATGATTATAATGGCATAGACATTTTAGAATAATTGCTGTGTCTGTTGACAAAGCTTTTTATTAAATACTTAATACTAAACATATTTTAAAGCTGGACATAATATTAGAATATGTCACATGTCAGAGTTCTAGAGCAGTCTGCCTTTGTCACCTTCACTTTTGACTTTTTCCTCTCTGCCAGGTGGCTAGATGAACGTCATGCGCAGTCTCACTTTATTCCAGCTTTATTCCGACCTTCTCCCCTTGAGCGGATAAAGACAAATGTTATAAACCCTGCATATGCTGCTGAATCAGGTCAGACAGAAAACTCACTGCATATGGGCTATAGTGCACTAGAAATAAAAAATAAAATGCTAGCCCTAGAAAAAGCAGACACCTGCATTTACAACCCTTTGTTTGGATCAGAGCTTCAGTACACAAACCGGGTAAGAGATTCAGTTGACTCTTACTTCAAAAGACATTTCGAATATAACAAAAACACATTGGTTGTCATGGAAAACATTAAAATAGTACCAACGCTTTATTTATATATATATATGAAAATCAAGTATATGAGACTTTTAGGGAGTTTTTATTTTAACTTTTTTTCCTTTTCTAGGTAGATAAAGTGGTAATAAATCCATACTTCGGTTTAGGAGCTCCGGACTACTCAAAAATCCAAATTCCCAAGCAGGAAAAATGGCAGCGAAGCATGAGCAGTGTCATGGAAGACAAGTACTGTTTTGGTTTTACTCTAACTGGCTCTCATAACTTGATGCTGAAATGTATGTAGGCAGTAAGGGAGCAGTGTGGTCACGGGCCAACAGCTGCACAGTGATAGGTCCTCTTCATAGATGTATCACTTCTGTTTTGACGTAATGTGAGTTTCCACAACGTTTATACTGTCTTAATTTCTTTTTTATGGTTAGAGAACGGCAATGGGTTGATGACTTTCCTTTGCATCGAAATGCCTGTGAAGGAGATTCAGAATTACTAAGCCATCTTCTCAGTAAGGGATTTTCAGTCAACCAACTGGATAATGACCACTGGGCACCCATTCATTATGCATGCTGGTAAATAGATTATTCTTTTTAGGAATTTATGACTATATTATTTTTTCTTACTAGAAAACTGTTCTCATTCCAAATAGCATCTATGCCATGTTTGTCTTTTGAGCATTCTATTCTGATGTTTTGATAACTCTGTGTATGCTACTGTTCATAATTGCCAAATCTGCCACAAATAAGGCACTGGCCGTCTTCTTAGCCATAGTAAGCCATACAGTAAAATGGCCAGTAGTTAGTAAATGTTAGTGCAAACTGTGATATTGCCTCTTCATGATACTATTATATTGTATTACATTGGTTTATTCTTACTGTAAAATTGACAGTCGTTAAGTACATGGGATTTGACCTTATATCATGATAGAAAATTATCCATTAGGTGTATGGTGTGAAAGACACATTGAATAAAAACTAAAAAAAAAAAAAAAAAGAAGAAGAAGAAGAAGAAGAAGAAGAAAATTATCCGTTTAGATCTTTCAGAATCTAATAATCTATCAATAAGCCTAACAAATTCTTCTTCAGAGATTCTTAGAATCATTACCTTCTGTTTTACCAGATTGGAACATATTTGGAGTTTTTCTTTGTGTTTGGTCCTAGTATAGCTCTTGGCACTGTTACTCTGCTCACATAATAATGATGCTTAGCTGAACTGAGTTTTTATTTCACGGCAGTAATGAACTGTTAGAGATTATTGTCTCAAAAAGACCTAGTCATTCCATTTTTTATGAGATTGCTTTTAATGTAGTGTTTTAAATGATCTTAACTTTTTGTAAAGAATGCTGCATTATTTACTTTCTATTAAATGTCCAGAGTGTTTTAGCTGTGTCACACTGACCTTGCAGGAACTTCAGAACTGTCTACTTTTCAGTTTGCTTATCTATAATAAATTACAGTAATTAGGGTTGAGAAATAGACTTGCCTAGAGTATACAAAGCCCCAGGTCCAATCATCAGCACTACAGAAGTAACAAGTAGGAAGTAATTAGACCATTCTAGAGTTTTTTCCAATTCAAACTTTTATTTATCTGATTCTAATATTTGTATTGAGCTGATTAATGGTTATTTTTAATATTCATGCTTTTTCTATTTCTCTGAAAATTTTTCTGTTTATAAGTATCCTCTTGTTAGGTAATGTAGTTCAGTGGCAGAGCATTTGATCGGTGTACATGAGGTCCGGGGTTTAATCCCCAGTAGCAGGGGGGGAAACCTGTGAAGTTTTTATATTTATATTTAGAAAGCTACCCTAAATAATCTCTAACTGGTCTAGTATATTTTTCCTCACATAACTAATAAACACTGGTAGTAGAAACAATATTAGAGCTAAAATGAAGGTGTAGATTGTACTTCAATCCTCAAAATTTGCTGCAGAATTGAGAATGACAATAGTGAGCTTTAATTTAGGAATCTCAGATTTATATATTTGTGCTTTCCATTATGTAGCAGAGGTTATTTCTTCTCTAGTAAAAGAAAAGTAAAACTTTGAACTGCCTACCACATACAAACAAAAGTATGGTATAACATTTAATGTGTTTAGAGATATGCCAAGGTTTTAGTAGCAGTACTTAGTTCCTAAATATGATCCTTACTAAGTTACTTAACATCCTAATAACCTGCTTATGTATTTACAAGATGGAGTTTAAAATGATAAAATAGAAAATACAAATAAAGTAATTGAGAGCACATAGTAAATGTTGAATAAATGTTGGCTTTGATTAATAAATATGATTGAGTTCAGTGGTATGGCATATGCCTAATATGTCAAGAAGGAAGGGAAGGGGTGGGGGAGGAGAGAAAGAAGAGAAAGAATTGTTAAAATGTACAAATTGTGTGATATCTAAATCTAAAATTAGTTAATTTTTATTATTCTTAGTTATAATGTCTTATTAGTAGAATACAGAAGGAAAATTTTTTTCTTTTGATAAAATTTCCTGTCAACTGAAAATGATAATCTTATTGGATTAATGTGAATCTGAAGAAAGAATGGTTATAGTCCATCATGGGTGCTACACACTTGTAACCCTAGCAACTGGAAAGCAGAGACAGGAGTATTGCTACAAGTTCGAGCCAGGCTTGGTTATATACCAGCCAGGGCTCTATAGTGAGATCCTATCTCAAAAGAAAAAGAATTAAAAACTAGAAAAAAGCTTACTTTATCTTGGAAATATATTCTTTTATTTAAATTCTTGATTCATTTTATATACCAACCATATTTCCCTCTCCTACCCCTCTTCCCACTCCCTCCCAACCCACCTACCATCCATTCCTTCTCTTGTTTGCATTCAGAAGGGGTAAGTCCTCCCTTGGGGAGTCAACAAGGCCTAGCACATTAAATTGAGTCAGGACTAAGCCCTTCCCCCTGCATTCTCCTTACTCCACGTCCTCTTTAATATAAGCTGTCCTCAGTGTCTTTGATCTTACCCATTCTGACATGTGTATTCAGAGTCATTTTGATTTGCATTTCCCTGATGACTGAGAATGTTGATCAATTCCTTAAATATCTTCTGGCCTTTTGAGATTCTTCTGTTGAGAATTCTCTGTTTAGATCTGTATCCCATTTTTAATTGAATTATTTGGTTTTTTGATTTCTAGTTTCTTAAGTTCTGAGATCAGCCCTCTGTCAGATGTGGGGTTGGTGAAGATCTTTTCCCATTCTGTAGGTTGTCATTTTATCTTATTTATTGTGTCCTTTGCCTTACAGAAGCTTCTCAGTTTTGGGAGTTTTCATTTATTAATTGTTGGTCTCAATGTTTGTGCTACTGGGGTTATTTAGGAAGTGGTCTCTTGTGCCAGTGCGTTCAAGGCTGCTTCCCACTTTCTCTTCTATCAGGTTCAGTGTAACTGGATTCGTGTTGAGGTCTTTGATTCACTTGGACTTGAGTTTTGTTCATGGATCTATTTTCATTCTTGTACATGTTGACAACCAGTTATGTTTTAAAACATGTCATGAAGCTTCTAAAAAACTCCATCCTATTCCTGTGTTTTCAGCAAATTGAATTTGAAAAGGTTTTCCTTATCATTATTATTATTGAATATTATATTGTTATAGTTGGCCCTTTCCTATTGAATTCAGAAAACTAGATTCTCATTCTCATAGTCATGAAATTGTTGATAATTACATAACTGATTCAAACGTCATTTTTCTAATCTGATACAATTACCACTACCCAACTCATACTTTGTTGTGAAAACTGTATTAAATAGCTAAATAAGAAAAGTTTAAATGTCATACAAAACTCACGTTTGTGTAGTTATTCTTGTTGTTGTTGGAGCTGGTCTATCTCACACCTTCTTTCCTGTCTTTTCCTGAAAGCGTATTTTTCTGAATGGAGTTCAGTGTTGTAGGATGAGTTCTTTGTTAAGGATTATACATTCTTTCAGACTTAACAATAGTTGTGCTCAATTGAATGGTTTTATATATTCTCAGATAAATACTCCAGGCCTTTCCTTTATCCTCAATACTGTTAATGCATTTTTAGTTGCTACTAAACAGTTTAATCCCTTCTCTTATAGGCATAAAGCACACTAAAGAATACACTAACACCATCCTAAGGGATTTCCAAGTTGACAGAGAAGAGAAGCACATAAAGGAAGATGAAACAGAAATAAAATGCTAAAAGTATTAGGAAGCTACAATGTATCTTAATTCAGAATAATAATAGACTGTTAAACTCTGAACAAAATGGGGAGAAAGGAAAAAACATATTAGAAGTAGTAAAAACCGCAGTGTGAGGGGATATGACTAAGACAAGATAGAACATAAGTGCCAGTTCAGAGTATGGTGAAAGCATGGGGTTTGTGGAGGGAAAGAAAACAAATGCTGAAGGCAAATTACCCCATATTTGATATGCCATTTTCCCCAAATGCACTACAGCGAAAACCAGATTCCCCTTTCCCTTCTTCCCTACTATGTTCTTCTTTCCAAACAGCAAGTCCTTTTCTGCCTTTGCTTCAAACCAGCCTTCAGCATGTCTTTGGTCTTGACTCAGTGTACCTGGCACCTGCTTGGTACTCACCTGAGATCTTGTGTTACTTACTCCTTTTTCCCAAATCTAAAATTTTTTGCTTTCTTCATCTTTTAAGTTCTGTCCTATTTAAAATCCAATTCAAAATCTTTTTTTCCAAAATACTTTTTAAAATATCCTTGGACTAGTGCTGTATCTTTTTTCTTTTCCAATAATTTTCAAAGAGTGTATACTATTTTGATAAGTAAAAATTTGAAATGCCAGACAGCTGGCTCAATAGTTAAGAGGTTTCTGTCAGAGGAGCTGGGTTCCATTCACGATGCCCACATGGCTGACAGCCATCAGAAATTCTAGTTCCAGGAGGTCCAAAAAAGGCATTGCATGCAAATGATTCACAGACATATATGTAGGCAAAGTAACCGTACACATAAAACAGATTTTTTGAGTTGATCTTGTTTTTTTATTATTATTTTATTACTTAAAAAAAAAAAACAATCAAAATTCCCACTCCCTCCTCTCCTCCGACTCCCTCCACACACCCTCCTACCCCACCCTCTTCAATCCTAAGAGAGGGCAATGCACCTGCCCTGTGGAAAGTCCACAGCCCTCCCTACTACGTCTAGGTTGAGCAAAGTATACATCCAAAGAGAATAGGATCCCAAGAAGCCAGTACATGCAGTAGAAACAAGTCCCAGTGTCACTATCAGTGGCCCCTCAGTCTGCCCCACCTGTCAACAATCTTCAGAGAGACTTGTTTGTTCCCATGCTCATTCACTCCCAGTTCAGTTGGAGAGCTACCATTAGCTCAGGCAAACTGTCTCAGTGGATGAACCCCTAATGGTCTTGAAGTCCTTGCTCATCTCTCACTCCTTCCACTCTTTAACTAGATCTTGGGAGCTCAGTCCAGTGCCCTGATGTGGGTCATTGTCTCTGTTCCCCATCTGTTATTGGACGATGGTTCTATGGTGATATTTAAGATAATCATCAGTCTAACTACACAGGTAAGGCCAGTTCAGACACCCTCTCCTCTATTGCTTAGGGTCTTAGC